GGGGGGGGTAATATATTCGAAAATAGAAAGTGGGGTTGGATTGGAAAAAAAAATAATAAGGGAGCGCAGTGAGACGTTCGTACCAGTATCAGCAATACAGAAATAGTTTCGCGCAGCTTAATTGGCTTGCAAATGCGCTATGATATATATATACACTTGGGAACCATTCGATCGCCCATACTGCTGAAGCGACCAAAAAAGAGGGGTCTGATTTCTTATATTTATATATTTTTTTCAGAGAAGGAAACAAACAGCATTGCACACGAGACCTCCAAGAATTTTCGCCATTATCCGAGGAGGCTAGGCGTTGATCTTACTATTCTTACCTATCATAATCATAAGACCAGGAGGAACCCGGAGGAGAGGCAAAGGAGGTGAGGGGGTGCGGACACAAAGTGGAGACGTAAACAGACAACAGAACATTGCTAGAAAGCATGTCAGATGTGAAAGGAGAAATTTTAGAAAAGAAATTTTCCCGGGACCTATTGAATGAGAGTGAGAGGCGAACACCCTAACCTCAAGACCACGAGAGCCCCTCATTTGCTTTTGGATTACGCGTCGCACCATGGGCCTAAAATAAAACAGCCCCCCCCCCCTTTTTTTTTAACTTTAATCTTAGGAGCTCGATTGGAAGATCTGAACAACGTAAAGGACTCTGCTGCCAGGCGTTTACTCTCTGAGGACGAAGCGAACACATATAATTGACATAATAGATCTATGTTCGACACCAGCAGACCAAAGACAATGTGTCCGCACATTTCAAACCATCGTACAGAACGAAGGAATACGAATATGCCTAGTTCATGGCATGCATGTTGTTACCTGACATTTTTTGGAGTTCCAGGTTAAGAAAATACAGTAGTGGCGACACATCTGTTTAAAATTAAATCACGAATTTATTGCTTCATTTTCAAAGAGCTTAAAAAATATTGCGTTTGCTGGAGTTAATATCTAACCGAATTGGAGAATTTCAAGAGGTATCTAGTTTATTTGTTGAAGCGAGACTGAAATTTCAGAATCTGACTTAGGTCCGGTCACGTATAACAATAACAGTAATTATCTCGCGGTAATCAAAGTATAATGTACCGCTTGTTCAAGAAAACTTTTCATGATCATATTTTGCTTTCGCCCCCCCCCCCCTCAACCACCCCACCCTTTCCACCCCACCCTCTGCCCGTTCCTCCTTCAACTCAAGAGGAGTTCTTACCCTCGCCCTTTCAAAACGTACACGACTGGCGTCTCCGTGTTGAGGTGGAGCACCTCCCACTACACTTAAGTGGAGGAGGACATGAGGAGACTGAGTGCGCGCACGACTCAGAGGCAACTTGCACAGGGAAAGACAGCAGCATTTGCACTGTTTACACTTTATACGATGATTATTGATTATTGAAAACTTCTTTAACGTCCCCCATCGACAAAATTTAGACCATCTTAGACGTAAGCTGCCTACCTGTCAGGGTCAACTCGACCTGAACGGGATATAACATCTCAGTGAACAGATGGATACATTCAATAAAGAACTCCCCCCCCCCTCTTCTTTCCACTTGGGAACCAAACTCACATCTTGTGCATGCAACAGCAAAGCACCTTACTACTACATACTGTTTGTGGGGTAATGGTTAACATCTTTGTCTTGCAAGTAAAAGATGCGAATCAAATCCACACACCAGAACCACATTTTATCGAATACAAGATACGTATCTGTCTTTCTACTAAGACTTTGTAGGTACATGTACAAGGACATGTGAACTTGTGTATATAATACGTATCATTACCTACATGCAGAAGTTCTGTATTTTTTGTGGCCATTCTTTAAAACTTGAAAAAGAAAATAGGCCACTTTTGCAACATAATAAATCATGAAACATCTGACTGACAACTTTACTTTTAAAATAAAAAAGTATCTTGACCTTCTGGAGTTAAATTGTAGCAGTCATAATTTGTCTATCTAGGCATTTGATCTACACAACTTGAGCATGTATTGGTTGAAAGGCTTTTAATTTCAATGACTTTCAAAAGAATCTGCAATTACCAAATGTACTGAACTGAGAGATTTGTGTACACACCTTAAGTAAGAGGTCATCGCAGGCCTCTTGATTTCACACATGTAGCAAGCAGGACCTACTACAGATGGGATAGGCCACTGGACAAGCACACAAGTCTTGTGTCGCTGAAGTGGGGCTGAGTCTAGACTTTGGAAGGAATGTGTAGAGGGTCTATGTGACACATTATCACACCAAAACACTCCACTCCCTTACATATATTAAAAAGGTCACGTCGTTCATTCTGCTCTCTTTAGCAAGTCACAAAACTAATCAGACATTTTTATTTTGAAGAGAGGGGAAAAAGACTTGTGTAGAGGAAAAAGGAAAGGAAAAACCCGTCTTGTTTCACCTAGATATTGAAACTCTTCGATTTCTCTCAAAAACTTAAAAATACTTCCTTGAAAACTAGAGCAGCCCCTTTTCCTTTCCCCTCCACAAAAAAAAAAGAACAAAACAACATCTAAAAACTGAGTAAAAACCAAACACACTGACAAAAAGATCACTATGTCATACTGTTTATAAACTTTATGGGATAAACCATTTTCACTTTCAATACATATATGCATGTAGTTACAGAAAACACAGCTGCAGCACAAGTAAGCTTATTTTGGTCTGTCCACCAAAAGAATAGACATAATTGATACATATTGTCAGAGCATTTCGCTATTGAACTGCGTATGGAGCATTCAGATACTTTCGAGAAAATATGAATTTTTAAAAATCAATCTATTACGTGTTTTAGCCTCTTGATTTTTACATGAATCATTCATGCAAATTAAAATGTGAGAGCTAATTTTCAAGATTGTGCTAAGGTCAAATATGAGGCATGGTGGTGAAATCAGGAGTTCGTCAGAATAATGAAATCCGAATTTTTGTTTTTTGGCTCAATACCTTGTATTTCCATTCAAAAACAGTTTTATGTGTGAATTTTATTAAAAAAACATTGACTTCAGGCACAAAAAATTTTAATTTGTAGTTTCCAAGGATTCTTAAGCTATGGAAGTCACCAAACTTTGGTGGCCATTCTCTCATTAAATTTACGTCTGAAATCAGGCGACTGCACCTCCTTCAATGGCAAATATCTAAACTTTTATTCAAGACAAAAGGATCATTTTTTTTCCTTGAATGAAGGCAAATGAACAACCCTTAAGATGATACCAAAAACTCCATATGCCCAAAAATTGACGTGCGCCTGATTCCCCTGCGTCATGACACAAATTATGCCTTTAGACCGGAGTTTTCAAATTTTGTTCCACACGAGGACAGCGAAATGCAATGATGATATGCACACACAAGCATACATACTTATACACATGACAATGATTGCAAAAATGATCTGAATCTATAACACCCCTTTCGACCAGATCAAGACAATTAAGGAAGCGGGCTGCTTCAACCTAGCCTGTCAGGGCCACCTTGGACTGAATGGGAGACAGCATCCCTACAAAATGGATAGAGATTAATTTGAAAAAGAAAAAAAACAAACTTCCTCACTCATGGAAAAGATGTCTACTGCATTTAACAAAAGACGCCAGACCACTGAATTTAAGGTGTCGATTTATACATTCAGAAACTTCTTCATTTGGAATGGGACGAACGACGGTCAAGGGGAAATAATCCCCTTTTTTTCATTTGTAAAAATTGCTATAATCTTCAAATTACATCCCATGTCTCTTTTTGTCAAACATACATTGAAGAACAGGGAAAAGGGAAACATATACACAATCTTGGTCATTTAGCAATTCATATATAACTGTTCTGAAAAAAGTCATTCTTTCTCATTCAACTGGAAGTATGAAAATGTAATCACAGAAGCAAGTAGTCCCAATCAAACTTAAAAACAAGAATCAAATGAAAATCAACAGGCATCATACAAAATACAAAGATCTGAATTTTTTTCTGTACATTAATATATATACAAGTACCACCTTAAAACAGTGAGTTATCAGTACTAAACGTATTTACTTTCAATATTGTGACATTATATACATAAAACTAAATGTTAACTGTTGTACATGTCATATATAGAGGCCAGACAGGTAAACTGAAACAAAGACTGATAAAGGACTGAATTTCTTCTTCTTTGCATTCTCCAGCTAGATGTCAGGGTAGCTGACTGCTGGCTAAGGACTGAACTGAACAGAATTGACTTTTTAATCAAATTTTCTGAGCTTCGGTTCATAATATGTTATTATTTATATTACGCCTCAAGTCAAATTATATATTCAAAACATGAACACAACCCTTACATATTTCACACAAGTAACTCTTAATACGGAGAAAAGAACAGATTACTGTAGGGGGACTGAACAGTGTTCTTTAATGTTCCATTTATCAAAACAGGCTGAGGAAGAAATAATTTTTTGGAACTGTTGCATCAGGCAGTGACTGGAAAAATAGCACAACACAATGCATATGATTCATTGCTAGGAAAACAGAAATGACTACCACTGCACTGAAGATGCGGATGACAAGGACACTGGTGAAAATGAGAACAATGATGATAATGATGTTGACAGAGATGGTTTTTACAGATGGGAGTAATTGAGATAACGAAGATGGCAATAATGAGAGTATTTACAATGAAGGTGAATTCTATGAAAAGGTGATGATGATTATGATTTACATGTCATATATATATAAGTGAAGCGTTTTGGTATTTTGTCTGTCTTATCTTCAAACAAAAGAACTGTAAAGTCAATGCCCCCATTGCCCTCACCCCGTATTATATTGTTCAAGTAACCTGCTCTGAACCTTTCTGTTCACTGACTACTTCTTCAATTCTAGGCTTTCTATTGCTGTGTACAGAACGTCCTGGAATTTTAAGACCTTCGTCCATTACGTGATCCATATCATGGACAAGTGCACCCGCACTCTGAGCATTGTGTAGATTGTCATTTTCAGCATCATTGGAGACTTCATCTTCAGAGCTAGATTCCTCATCACCGCTTTCATCAATAGTCAACACCTCTGGAGGTACCATGGACAAATTCTGAAAGACAAGAATAAAAGAAAGATTTGCTTACTTTTTAAAGCAGGAAGGCAAGAATATATTGTATTGAAGTTGCTTTGGCTTGTATTTAATTGTGTCAAGGGTGAATGATGGCAGAGCATGAGGGAGAGGGAGAAGGTGTCAGATCAGGGAGGGGGTTGTGAACACCTGGGTCAACTCATTATGGACATTATATAAATGAAAAGATTATTTTCCACGCAAAAAACCCCCCAAAACCACAAGAGAAAGCAGTTACTCAGTCAATGATTAGTGAAAATATGAATTCTTTCCATTTGACGCAACAGATTGTGTGTTGCAAAAAGATCTCTGGCAGCTCACAGTGCATTGAATTCAACAGTTTTGCTTTGTTTGAAGAAAACAGACTAATAAAATTATTTCACACTTTCATCCTTCCTGTTTCGATTTTCATGACATGTACTTAGGAGTCTTTTGATTTACCCTGAGCTTTGAAACTAAAAGGAAAGTTGAAATGCGATGCTATGTTTTTGTTGACCCTACATCACCAAGGGGTCTTCTGTTTACAGCTGCACTCTTTTTTTTGTATTGCCAGTCTTTGACCCATTCAAACATTATGACTTCTCACAGAGGAAAAGCAGGGCTAACTCAACAGCAAGTTATTGATATATGATTTTAAAAATGCCCTTCTTTTAGACGACATTAGAAGTTGGATCATGATAGTGGTAGATCTTGTAATTTCCATTATGAATCTAGAACATACAGTAAAGTCTACGAATCTCAAACATGAAAATCATGAATTCTCCAGTATCTTGAACATAATGCTCAGTCCCATTTCAGTCCCTATGTTTTCTTTGTAATGACTTCATGGAGTTCCTGAACAGGCAACACTCGAATCTCGAACAAATCCATTTCGCATTCTCAACTAAAGACCCGGCTTTACAGCTGGTGGTGAGTAGGTGTTTCTTTGTTAATGTTACTTGTCTCAACACGAGAGGCTGGAGGAAGAAGGGGGAACAGGAGAGGGGGGTTGAGGAGTGATGCTGACCGCACTGTGTGACTGGCTCGCCATGCATGCAATCATGCAGTGGGGCGCACGCTGTGAAGATGGCAAGAGGCGTAACTTTCTGTAAGCCAATGAAATGAGAGGAAAGGAATGACGCAGGAGTCGGCTGTGCACATATGAGATTTTCTGCTTTCCACTTTCATCTTCCTGCTTAACATGTTCATCAAGGGAGCTGACAATGTTAATTGTTTTAATGTTCTTTTTTACCTCCCTTGATTTTCTCCCCATTTCTTTGTAATTGGGGCTTTCACAGACATGACAAATTACAGAAATCTCAAACAATATTTCCAATCCCCGACGGATTCGAGTTACTCGTGTTTGACTGTAACATTTTCAGCAATTTAAATTCTCAAACAGTCCATTGAATATTTAAGAAATTTGAATGAAATATTCCCTTTCCAATTTTATGACATATATAAATAACATTAATATGAAACACATTGATTTGGTTTTGTCTAATAGCTACTGTTTATTTTTATAAAATGTGATGCTCCTCAAAATATATCATACTACAATATGGATAGCTCTTCATTGAGAAAGAGAAAGCTGATAATTCAGCAATGAATTTTGGTTTTTTTAAGAAAAAAGAAGCCCTTTGACACTATAAAAAAAGGCCATTTAGTGCTGGGAATAAGTAAAACAGACAGCAAAATACTAGGAATATTACAAACTTCAACTGGCGCCCTCCAACCACCCGCACTTTGCAAGGAGACACTACATATTTTTCACTGGCCACCGAGAGATTCGACCTGAGAACTTCGGGGAAATTCACTCAAAGGTGCCAAGTGACAATATAGAATGCAAATTTGGTCAGAGAATCAGAAGACATTGTCCTACAGTAAAGAAGAAGCAGAGAAAGCAGTGTGGAAAAAACCTTTTGATGACATACAAACAGTAGAAACCACATGATTGAAACCTGTGGAACAAGCCAAAAAGGAAATACAGTCAAACCTGTGTAAGACGGCCACCCATTGTCAAGCAGAAAAGTGGCCCTATACACTATAAGACAGGAGGCCGTCTTAGGCAGGACTGATCGAGATGAAGAAAACAAGCCATTCCCATTGAGGTCCCAATTGAAAGTATCTGCATTACTGTTGTTTTTGTTGTTGTTGGTTTGTATTTTGTTTGTTATTTTTATAAATTTTGTTGCTGATTTTGAGCAAGGGTGACAATAAAACAAAATGTATCAGACGAGGAAGACCGAGTGCCATGTTAAAACGAACATGGGTCACCACCACTCGGAGAACGTAATCTGTCCCAAGTTCATGTTGACGCCCATTGTTACTTTGTTACAGACTGGGTAAACAGTGACCACTCATCTCACTTACGATTTGTGTAGGAGTTCTTGGTGGGGTTTATGGGTTATGAGGGATCACACGCTTACCTCACTAGCAGCTGAAAATTGGTACCTATTGGTCAACAGTGGGAGGGGCCTACGCAACATGATCGGTTGGAGGGACTACCTAACAACAATGACAGGTGGTTGAATTATGATGGCTCGCCCACAACGCCAGGGGCCAATGCATAATTTATGACAAAACTTAATGGAGTCACTAAGATGGCCGTCTAAGACGGGTGTCATTGCTTGGTGTGATAGGGTTTGTGTGTTAAAATATGGTGGCAGCGGCCTCGTTGGACAGGTGCCCGTTTTACACAGTTAAATTATATAGAAAAAACGCAAGGGGGGGAAATGGAAAGTGGCCGTTTGTACAGGTGGCCATCTTATAGAAGTGGCCGTCAGGGCAGGTTCGACTGCACAATAGTATGAATATTTCATTTCTATGCTAGAAAGCAAGTATACACATATAAGCACATGTCCACACAAAGGCACCCACTCTTGTTTAAACACATGGACACTCAACAACACTCACCATTTCAATATGTGGTTCCTTGTCATCATCATCAATACATTCCAAGTTGAATCTGTCAGCAGCACTCGGTTCCTTTGACAGCTCTGTACTCATGACTTGGTTTGCTTCAGATAATTTAGGAAGGAAGTCTTTGATCCTTGACAGAACTGAGGACATTAAATGAAATGAAAAATAGTGTTACCAATAGTCAAAGAGCTAATACATGAATATGATACCCTGTTCTGGGAGATGGAAGAAGAGAGAAAAACAGGAAAAATTCTCTTCAATCATGTGTTACATCCACAGCATAACAGAACACGAAAAGAAATAAAGTTATTTATTTATCCACTCAAAGAAATACTTTAATCCTTTCCCACAACAAATGAAACATACAGGTAAGGTGTGAAAACATTGCTGGACCAAAAAAACTGCTATGCAAGAAGACACTTGAATATTCTTGTTTCGTTTGACATCCCGCAAAGACAATCAATTCATCAATACTCAAAGTGTTGAAAATAATTTTTCTAATGTTTGTGTATTTAAGTCCCAATTGACATAATCAGGATCATTTAGGAGATAGGCTTCCACCCTGCCTGTCAGGGCCAACCTGGGCAGAGAGGGGTATAATGTCCCTGTTGAAAAGTCGAGATACTTTATAAAAAGTGTCCCCACACAGGAATCGAAATAGGGGCTTCTCAGGTCTTTTGAATTGCAGCGGTGAAGGGCTTGGCTTATCCAATACACCACGGACACCACCACAGTAATTCTCATACGGAGTGAACACATGCCACATAAAGTCTTCACCCAGAGTCCAGTTAATCTTGCCAACAACGGATGTATAACACTCATCTGTAAGACTAAGACTTTCTGCACAGGTGACGGGAGACAAGAAACAGATGCATAGGCCAGAATTTGAGTGGTGCTCAGAGATGATAGTAACACCACAGGCCACATTCCACCAGGAACTGTTATAAGGACAAAATTTTACAAGTAGTACAGAATTGAGAACTGTACAAGGAACAGCTTACCTGAGCTCTGAGGTATGGTGAACGTTTTTAATGGTTTGTCTCCAGAACCTGGCCCTTCTCTGCCCACAATGCGTAATTTGCTTTCCTTGTAACCTAAATAGAAAGATGATAGTTGTAAAGGAAAAACAAAAAAATAGAAGCTACAAAGCAAAAGCTAAAGCACCAAAAAACCAGTATGCGATAGACAAGAGAAAGAAAACATACCATAAAATCATTTTAAAAATATAAAACTAGCGATCTAAGAAGATTTTTTGCTTTCGCTCCCTAGATGCATTGCTTTTGAGAGTCCAACTGACATAATTTGGCTGGAGAACACACATTTAGCCCCTAAAAAAATAACGTCACAAATCAATTGTTTTAAAGAAAATTAAAAACCTAATTTAGTTAAATATCAAATTATAGGGAAACACTTGGAGGTTGGAGGGGGAGGGGGGTGGCGGCAGTGTCACCTTGAAAATCCCCAGGTTTTTTAAACAAGTGACGATATAATATCACAATGCAATTTAGGCAACAATAAAACCTTGGCAAAACATCATTATATTTTTTATAATTATATCCCATCCGACCCAAGGTTTTAAACATTTTAACTGAGGTACGTACAAGCCAAAAAATATTTCTTTAAATGGCGGCGACAGATGAGGTTAGAGAGCAACACTTTTCTGATCCTCATGGGGATGGGGATCATGATGGTGTTGATGATACCTTATAAGGACTATGAAGTAAGCCTATTAGAGGGGTAATTCCTGTCAGGTTCATTACCATGGATGATTAATCCAGGGCTGCCCACCCACCAATATTTTTATAGTAATTATCTATAAATTAAAAAAATAATTGCCTGGCTAAAAAAAAAAAATTTGTAATAGCCACATGGATAGATTAATTCCCTGGGGTTGTACGTTCAAGGATGAATGTGACATAAACAATGGCTTGATTTGATGAAATTGGTCTCAGAGGGCTTGTTGCATAGTGAAGTTCGCGGGAGAGGGGGAAGTTTTATCAGCTGTTGGCATGACTCTTGTAAAAACAAAAGAAACCAATGGGACGAGACCTAAGCCTTTGATCCTGATTGTGCATAACTACAAACCACGCTATGTGCTGCAGCTGATTGTTTCAAACAATTTTTTATTAAGCTGAGTAGGCCTACTTTCAAAATACAAAGTTTTACTGTGCTTTGCAATTTGAAGAAAAACCATTAAAAAATTCTAAAACTAATAATTTGTTATGGATCATAACGTCCAGCTGCCATCCTTACAATACACCTGATCATGGGACAGGAGTGAGTGTAAAACAATGACCTCATCTAATACCTGAGTCAGGAGAGCTTTCTCAGGTTAGAATTGTTTCTGGGAGGGGGATCAGGGTGACTCCCATTAAAAATGGAAGTGGTTTTTCTCACCCCGGGAGAGAATAACCTATATAGGCCTATGTCTCGCTATTCTCACCCCCTCCCTTGTTTTACCGGAAATGACCCAAGAGGAATCAGGGCTTAGGTTACCAGGGCTAATGCCCCACAGGATCGTGTTGGTGTCCGAAATAGAATAAATCTAGATCTATTCACAGTCAGGGTTGTCAAATTGGAGCCAAATCACAGAAATTTGGCTCTTTTGGATCGCGTGTGGCCCGGAGAATTTTACTTGGCTCTCCTTTTGCTCCAAACGTTGAAGAAGAAGGGGACAGAAGAGACAAGAAAAAAAAAAAAAGAAAAAGAAAGAATGAAATTTAAAAAATAAAAGTGAAGAAAAGACATGATGCGATTAAACGTAGAAGGACGCAAACTATTTTTAGGTGTGGCGCCCATCTTGTTTGACGTCAGACCAGGATACCCCTTCGATCACATGACTACATCTAAGTATAGCCAACCGCATAGCACCAAAGATGGAAGTGTCTATGTATTTAAGCTTAATCTACATCTAACTGTCGGAAGTTCTGATGGCCGTTTAGACAACGTGTCTGCATATATATATGAAGTCATGCAAAGATTTTATGAGCGGTTCGATCCCGGTCCCGGACAGTTTTCTTTTTTCTCTTCTCCTCCTCTCGACTGACCAACAGTTTGTCCCATAAATTATAATTTGTTGCTTTGTAGTTGTTTTTAAAAAAAATAAAAAAAATATATATATATATATATAGATCTAGATCTAGGCCTATTAGTGATGAAGAATGCAGGAGGGGGGGGGTTGATCTAGAGATCTAATCCTCCAGCGTCTTTACGGCAATTTTCGTGCGGCATATTGTGTTTCAATTTTAAGCACCAGCGTTCTTAATCTTACTGTTCTGAGCATCAACGATCTAGATCTAGATCTGAGTGATCTTCCATCATGTCCAAGTACTAGATCTAGGTCTAGGAAATCCGAAATGTTACAGAAAACATGTCATTCCATGCGGTACCTCCACGAAGTCTGTGGGTATCCCAGGAAGTGATGACATCACATTACTAAAATTAGCAGCCAATCAGAAAGATGCGTCTTCTACGTTTAACGGCATGTGACTGTGAAGAAAAGAGCTTGGATTGTTTAACTCTTATCCTGCGTCTGTGCCCAGATGCGTACCTTATCAGCAACCGATTACGTTGGACGTGCCGGGCAGGCCGCCGGGGTCACTCAGTGTGTACTGTTGGTGTACAGCGCGCGCGCCGGGAAACGTGTGTTTTCGCCATGAATACCGTGGCAGTGTGTTAACCGATGATGAAAATAACGCTCTATCTTTCATAGCTTTCTATTTACAAATAATAAAGTGTTACAAACACATGAATAACACCCTCTCACAAGCTGATAAGACATTACGAGTAGTTACGCCCATTCGAAGAATAACCTTTCTGGACGCTCTTCTTATTATGAATGACCTGAGGTTCGAAAGGGGATAATAAAAATTTAGGTCAATTTCCGATTGTTTACACTCAAATTGTTCTTTGTACCTGCACAAGGGTACTCAAAACTATCAAACAAGCTTATTCTTTATCAGGTAGTATCATTTCATACAAAATCAAGCTCATTTGAAATATTTTGTGTACAGAAAAATGGAAGTCTTGTTTCCTGACTATCCTTTCGAGCTCCTCATGTCTAAGTGGGTCAATTTCTTCTATAATTTCATCTAGAGCTACCAACTTGGCATGTTTTGAATGAGACGTATGCCTCGATTACGAACCATTGTAGGTGGTTCTAGAAGAAGGCCACAAACGCACATAAACTCAAGCAGACTGATGCACACACACGACCTGCGTGAATGGGGATCCGACTCGGGACCCGAATGACACGTAAGAGGATGCGCGCTGCGCGTGCGCTGAGCCAGGGGCTACACTGATTCGGGACCAGAACGTAGGCAAGGTGCCGGAATAGGCTTATTGGGCGACATAAACCCGGCTCCCGCAGGATGAGGGTTAAAATTAAATATTAACACGATTTAACTTTAACGCCCTCGCCCATTTGGTCTGAATAATTTACAACGCTTCAACTGTTGTGCAAGAGCATAGTCTCATGCTCATGTCTCGTTACGGTAGGGGGGAGTCCTCGCCTCAAGCCCACACCGGGGAGCTGGAGGTTCTGGGGGGGGGGGGGGGGTTCAAGGCCCAGTCGATGGGATCAAGGATCGCTTGTCCAATCTGCAAGCAGTGGTCAAAACTTCACACCTCTCAGCTGCTATCCTCTCTGATAGTATGCGTCAGTCTTACTATCCAATTACCACGTGCTTGCCTTTCATAGGACCACTGTTTGACCTATTAAAACAGGAACGTTTGAAAATCTCCTTTGCTTCCACCCTTAGCCCCCCACCCACCAATGCCACCCCTCACTGCCATCATGTAACAACGATTCCAGGAAATCATTTCTCGGCTGGCATTGGTCAATCTAATTTCACACCTCTGGCCTCTGGCTACCCAAGAAAGCTTCCGTAGTGGCTCGCACTCGAGCGCTCTAACTCTAACGGGCAGTCGTGAGATTTCACACCCACACTACACTGACCATCTGCATCGCTCAGGGCTCACATGATGGGGTAACATCTACCCCCAAATTGCACCCCTACTCCTTTTCCTCGCCCAGCGGCATGGCCATAACGTTAAGTTTCTATTTAAAGCCGTTGGCGTTGGAACCAAACTTGCGAGTTTTGTTTCAAATCAGGGTTGAGCGGGCAAAGCATTTTTCCGTCTTAGACAGGTGAAACCCTCGGAAGGGAGCAGATTTTTCTTTCCGTCCGTTTCTGCGTCGGACAGGTTTCCATTCTATACAGGTAATTAAAGAGGAATATATCAACAAGGGGGGAGCGGGGAAATTCTGGTAAGACAGGTTTCCGTTTCCGTTTTACACACAGTTCACAAAGGTTTCCGTTAAGGCAGGTTCGACTGTACAGGGTTCCCACTCATCAGGGACAGATAATCTAATCTAGATCTATATCTAGATCTAGTTTGGCTTGACTCGATCAAGGCACACTAAGCCTTCTTGAACTTGAGTTTCAGAGCAACTTTACTGTTAAACTTTACAGTAGGCCTACAATACAGTTTACTTTGGAGGCCTTGGCTAAGGCAAGGCAGAGAGAAAAATCGGCGTAGGAAGACCTTTTGTTAGTTGTAAGTAAATCGTTTCTTACATGCTGCAAATTTGTCTGGATAAAGTAACTCTTTTGATACACACGACCCTTCGATAGATCTAGTCTCGGAGGACACACCATCGACTTCATCAACAGTTTCATCTGCTTCTCTGCATGCACTCACGGGGGCTGCCATGTTTGTTGATATCAGTAATACTCTCAACGCTTCTTCTGCTTGTACCTGAAAACAAGTCAGGAACTGTAAAATCATTTAAAAACTGTATGTTATAGCTACAAATTAAATAGTTCAATAAATATTTAAAACAAATGATTAGGAAATTAACGTAAAGTGGTCATATTCCTTTTTCTATACAACATTATATGCTCTGAGATTATCAAACAAATAAAATGGCGTCTGCACTATCAGAAGACGAGTTTCATCGAATGCAGGTACACAGTAGTACTTTTATTATAAAAACTATAATTTCAACGAAGATGATGATGACCTTTTGATGTAGACTAAAGACAGAACGAGAATGTTAGATATTTTGGGCTAAAGAGCAGATGCCATTTAAAAAAATGAGCAGAATAGAAAACGTTTTCACTGTCTCTCTGCTCCTACTCCTGTCCTAGCCCCCCCAGGCTTAGGCCAGTCTCATTCTCATGTCATGATGAGTGATGTTTGACTTGTTGACGTGATGTTATTGACATAGAATTAGATCTGGATCTAGATCTCATTGTGTGTTTTCTTTATTATAGTTTCTAGGGGGGCAAGCCCATCCGGGCCAGACACGATCCGAAAGGGCGATTTTTTCATATCGGACTCGAGTCCGCATAAATTTAGTTTCCCCCACACCTTTTCTTCCGATCCGATGCCCACCGCCTCCCTGATACGCGCCCCCCCGCCCCCCATGTTTCCCACTTTCTTTATTGTAAAAAAAAAAGACCGATTCGGTCAAATACACAAGCCTCTGTGTCATCTCAATTGTTTACCAAGAAAAAGTTGTGTTGCTGTGTAGAGCTGAGCATACGGCAACTTTTGATTCCATAGACCAGGGCACAATTCATTACGTAGATCTACGTCAAGACTAGCTTATATTATTGTATAATGATCAGTTGCCGGGGGGAAAAAGACTGACGCGTATGCGACGTTCAACGCCCGGACCGATAGTGCCCCCCCACCCCCCTCCCCGACACACACACAGCCTCAAATTCATCATAAGATAAAAACTCGGCTCCTGCACAAAGCGTCATTTTGCCCGAAGTCATCCCGGTCTCTACCCAGCCTGAGGCGAGTCACGAGTGATGCAGGACAGAAGCAGGAGTCACGAGTCACATCCAGTCGGAAGTCGGAAGTGATGTCATGCCGGACAAGAATCAGAGTCCGAATAACATTTTTTCATATTCGGACTCGAATAGTCACTTCGTTCTGGGAATTGCCTCCAAACTGACAACCCTGACTGTGACTATTACTTTCGGACACAGTGACTAACATGATGCTGTGGAGCATCAGCCCTGACTTTTCAGTGAACCCGAGCCGCGGTACATGACTCTGTTTTTGCTGGTCGCAATTGTGGTCTAATAATTCGCTCGTTTTTTCCCCGTCCGAGAGCACGTTTGACGCGAAAAGGCGCCTGTGGTGGCAGGCGGAAGTGTATGTGTGACACCGAGGCTCGATCGGGAAAAATCAAGATATACTTTCGCTTTCGTTCCCACCCAGAAATTTCCTGATAAAACTGTCGCAACATTTGTGACATGCAGGTTGTGCAGTATAAACGCTGTGTCGCCGTGCAAATAAAATTTAATCAATACTCGGACTCGTCACTGTGCTGTCACTTAGGGGTGGGAGGGGGGGAGAGAAAATTGAAGCGTCGTCCGATTTTTAGATTGTCGGGCTCTCCATCTTGACCGATCAGTGAACCTGCGCGCGTTCGTGAGAGCAGCGGCATTTGTTGGGTTGCCAAAGTTCATTCAAAGTCTGAGCGTTGTGCAGCAAAGTATAGGACTACGGAATGGGGCAGGGGATTATTGATTTTTCTTTAAGATACACGCAACACCAGAGGACAAAAACTTGAAGCCAATTTAAGAATTTTGATAAGATTAATTTACTTTAATAGAGCTCTCTGCAAAGCGCGCGTTGGTGCAGGCCGTGTGGAATCAGGATCCTTCATACCTTGTAAGCTGTGTTATTGAACTAAAGTGTTCGCATTTCATTGGATGGGTGATAGTAAATTATAACAATATTGTAACTTTCTGTTCATTCAAGACAGGCAGATTTTCAGTGTCACTGCGTCTTGCCCTCCCACAGTTCTTACAACTCTCACAGTGCATTAGTCTACTTGAGCCATTTTATTGCTCTACTTTGAGTTTGAGCTTTAATTTTTGTCTTTCACGTTCATAATATGAATCAAGACATCCAGACTGGTTTTTGACTGACTGGATATTTTACCTGTGTGTGTGTATTGTTTATGTAACATCCCCCTGGAAAATGGATGACCACCTGGAAAATTGAGGAGCCACTTTTGCAGTCACCCTGTGTACACACATTAGGTCTAAGTCTACCCACCGCCACCAGAGCAATGCTACTGACTGAAGCGTCTTTAGGCCATTCCCAAAGCGGGGATATTAACTTGTTCTTATGCACAGTAGAATTGTAAGTATGGGCTGATTTATCAGTGTCATGCTCATACTTTGCCGGAACAACATATGAGGAACTGCTGCTTTTTCTTTCCTCTTCCTTACTTTCGTCATTTTCCTCTACTTCTTTTTTTTTTTGCATGTTTGTCACTCTTGTAAACTACTGTTTCCGGGGTGCCTTGATAGTGCTGTTGAGGTGAGCAGACTAAGCTTGATTTCCCCTTTTAGACTTCTCTGTTGACATCCACCCCTTGTCGCTCATTTATGACTTTATGCAGTTGCGAGCGCCGTAAAACTTCTCCTAAATCTAGCCGCGAGCAAGCTTGCGATTGTCTGTGTATCCTGTATTTTGACAACTCGACTTTGTTGTGTGTTATTTTCGTTCCATAAATTATGTAATAATAATATATATATGTTATTGATGGCGCAAGTGAACTCCCTTTTTCGAGCTGGTGAGTGGCTTGATTTGCTAATAGTAAATTTTTTCTCCAGGTAGTAAATTTTTTCAGGAAATATTGCTGGACGCCCTGGAGAGAG